TAATGAAACCCTCTATCCTTGAAGGCATACCCTTATTACTATTGCTCTCTGTAGCTAATTCAACCCCATTTTGATGTGGGCTAGGTAAGAAGGGGCAAATTGCAGCAGTCTTTGCTTTAATATGAGGGACGCATGTTGTTTTCGTGGGGGGTCTGAACTGAGGCCAGCAAAAAGAATTCACGCACATGGTAGAAGGTTTCAGTCAGCGAATACACAGGTTGGCTACGTAAGCCTCTCTCAAACCAATTTCAATTCCCAGAACTCCTCTGCTTCCGGTAGGATCGTCACAGGAAAAGTATTCTCATTTCCTACTTGCAATTGCCTTTGGAATATCCCTCAGACTATTGCCAAATAAAACTTCTCCCTTCCCTTGCCTGAACTTTTTACAGCTCTCAGTATTAGGACCCCTCTAATTACAGTCCTGATTCACAGGCATCTAAAGGGGAGTATACATTTTATGGTCTATTTCTGTTATAGCTTATTATTTGTTAGGATTCAGGGTAGATGCACACTGTTCCTTCATATGCTCCCAGTAGATAACACATACATGTTCACAGAATATAGACCAGGGCAGTCCAACACACAGCCTGAGGGCCACAGGCGGCCCCCAATACCTTTTTTGGTGTCTCTCAGCAATATTTGATGTCCCTCCTGCCACAGCTTTCCCAAAGCCAAGAAAGTGAGGAGCTGGGCTTTGGGAAGGATGTGTGAGAGCTCTGACTGGGTCCTGTAGTCTTCCTCCCTCCTTCCCAAAGACTACTTAGCGCTTTTTCAGCTTTGGGGAAAAGATGAGAGGGCTCTAGGACCCTGCCAGAGCCTCACATCTCCTTCCCAAAGCCCAGCGCCTTGCTTACCAGCTTTGGGAAGGTAGTGTGAGGGGGGCATTAAATTTTGGGTGTCCCCCCCCCCACTGCACATGGCAAGGCAGCGTGAGGCCCACTGGTTCCATGTCAAAGTACTCTTGTGGCCTGTTTTGTGCAAGGATTCCATTCCTCCTCCTCCCCCCCCTCCATGCGCCGACAGAGTGCGCAGAAGCCCCCCAGAAGAGGACATTACAGGGGGCAGGTTTCTTCTGGGGTGGGGGGCCAGAAACTAAATTAATTAAGTACTTTCAATGCTTTTCACAAATTATTGTGGATCCATGGTTATGTCCTGTTGTGTCCTCTTCCATCCCTGTTCTGTCCTCTTCCAGGTCCAGAAGGACCCACACATTGGTGTTCACACATTAACTGGACACTCGCAAAATGGCCGCCGCCTATATAGACTCCGATTGCCATGACAGCTAGAGCTAATTGCAAAGGCAGCAAGTGCCAATGGCTATTTAGCCAAAGGACTCCTGTGAAACATAAATAGGTATCCACTTTCTCATGGGAACCATGACATTTGCAGAATATATATATGTTTAACCACCACCTATGGGGAAGAGAAGAGAACTCAAAACAGTCTGAAGATGACCCAGTCCTCATGGGTCACATCCACGATATATGTTTAAAGGATGCATGGCTTCTGCCAAAGAATAGATTTGATTTGATTTCCTGAATTTCTATGCTGCTTTTGGTCCAAATGAATCCCAAAGCGGCTTATAAACAAAAAAATAACAATAACAGAGTAAAACAGAATAGAGCATCACAAATGCAACATGAATGATATAAAATGTTTAACAAATAATCCATAGAACAATTACAAATAATCTGTAAAATAATTGTAAGTAATCAGTAAAACAATTATTATTATTTAAACACGTTTTTCATTCAAGATTTATTGGTTTAATGGGTGATGTGCCAGGGGAATTAGTGGGGATGGGGTTGGAGACAGTTTACCTATTTCTGCTTTCCATGCTTTAAGCGTGGTCTGTGTGAACCTGATTAGTGTTGTGGGAATTTTCCTTAGTTTGTTTGGGAGGAATGGGTATGCTGTGGTGCCTGTATTTTCAATTGTGTCCCTCTCCAGGTATACCCATTGTTTTGTCTCATCTTCTGGTATATACAGGATTATGTGGCATACTTGGTTGGCGATGTAATATGCTTCTATCTTGAGGATTCCCCATCCTCCCTCTGAGGAGGGGAGGTGCAGGTATTTGGGGCTTATTCTTGTTTTTTTGGGGGGGGTGAGAAGATAAATGAGTGTATGTAGTTTTTTTCTGCCATTTGCGAAGTTGGGCTGGGGGGAATCCAGATTGGGAGGGTTTGGAATAGGTAGGTTAGTTTTGGGAGGGTGATCATTTTGATCATGGCCATTTTGTCTGAGAGGGTGAAGCTGGTGTTGTTCCATCTCTTTAGGTCTTTGTTTATTTGTCGCCACAAGGGGTTGTAGTTGTGGAGGTATAATTTGTTGAGGTTTCTTGTTATTTGTACCCCTTGGAATCTGAACTTAGTGCATGAAATATACTCAGAGTCAAGAGTGGATTTCATGTTCTTTATTCAGCTCATAGTGGTGAGGAGGAATGGAAGTTCCCCCAGAATGTCTGCTTTATATACATTATTTACACAATGGGCCCCACGTGATTGGATAATTCCGGGATTCACCTGTAGGCCAATCAGGTTGAGTATTCACTTCCACCTGGAGCTGGATTGGGTGGCTCCTGTGGACCAATCAGACTGCTGCATTCTGGACCCTATTGTTCTAGACCATTCAGACTGCTGCATTCTGAATCCTATTATTCTATGACCAATCAGACTTCTGCCTTTTGGATCCTATTCAACTCAGTACATAACAGTGCGCCCAAGTTTTATCTTGGTGATGTTGGCGAATTTTTTCGTGTGTGAGGGGGAGTGCTGAGGCACATAGCTTCTAACTTTGCAAAAATTACCTGTAGGCTTGACACCATTGCAAATGTCTTCTCTGATTAGGGAGGTTGCTGTGTTTATGGAGTCTGGTGTTGTGACCATTAGGTTGTCTGCAAAGAGCCCTAATTTGTAGGTTCTGCCTTTTATTTCCACTCCCTTGATGTCTGTGGCTGCTCGGAGCCGGATTGCTCGGTAAAACAATTATAATCTGTAAAACACTATTAGCAAAGCAGTAACTAAAAAATAAGAGAAACATCACAATTAAAGCAGAAGAATCAGGGAACTGTAACTGATCACAATGGGACTATTATCTGGGTAAACACTCATAAAGTCAACTTGCAGCTTTCTTTGGCTTGGGACTGCTGTCTTTAAAGGGACACTTCAAGAAGGGGTTTTTTTATTGTGGGATCAGTGCTACTCATGCCTAAAGTTTTTCATAGCATGCAATTTTTTCACAGCATCCCCACAATGCCATCAGCATCAAAATGCCAATCTAACCCCTCACACAACTCATTTAATTTGAATTTACCCTCTCTGGTGCACTTAAGGAGGTAAACAAAAAAGTCACCAATCAGTAGTTTGAGATATGTGAATGTGTAGTTTTGCTGCGTATGCACTATACCTTTAAAGCACATTTGAATCACATTCGTCCTCTCAAAGAATTCTGGGCACTGTAGTTCACCCCTCACAGCAATCCTTAACAATCTACAGTACCCATAATTTTGGGGGGTCAGGAATGTGCTTCAAGTGTGCTTTAAAGGTATAGGTGGAATCTAGACACATAAAAAGCGTTGTGAAAATGCTTTTTTTAAAAAAAACGTTTTGAAAAATACAGCAAATTTGCCATAGCTCACCATCTCCATCTAGTGTCACATTTGTATAATGCACTTTGCAACACACTTAAAACATTTTATTTGTGTGATTGCAGCCTCAGTCCCCATCTGGAAGCAACTTGTAGAGAGAAGGTGAGGGAAAGTGATGAAAGCCAATGATCTGGTTATGTAATTACTGAGGACAGCAGTTTCACACATGGGTAGCGTTATGAAGCAAAAACTGTTGTGATAATGCACATGAGGTTATGCACAAAACCGACCCAAAATGGGAGTGAGTGACTTTCAGGTCAGATGATGGTTGGGGTTGACAGGTAGATCTAAATAAAGACACAACTGATGGATCCCATTAGTTCAACTTCAGCAGGTGAAAACTGAAGGATTAAATGGTTTGATGCAAGCAAGGGAATAGCTTGCTTTTTTTCTTCTTCTGCTAAAAACCAACTTCTTAAATACTGAGTAACTCTTTCCCTCCCCGCACTCCATCCTGTCATCCTGACAGTTACATTAACAAAAAACCCTGTTCCCTGACAACTTGATTATCATATGAAACACCGGAGGATATAACTGCTAATCTTTTGAGTTGAGCTGTAGAAGCTGAATTCTGAATATTAAGTTTTAGCCACATTTAATGATATTCTCAAAGCCTGCACATACATTAATTCCTCTGAAATCCACGGGGAAAAAATGTCAACTCGGATTGAACACCACCGTGTTAAAAGAGAAGTGCTCAGTGGATCGGCCATAGATAGGCCACCTTAGAAGGTATCACCATGAGCTCCACAGTGCTGCCAATATTGGGCTTAGACTGACAGGCACTGATGCAGGAGGAGGTGGAAGAGGAAGAAGATGAAGAAGAAATGGGGGTGCTGAATTGCCAGAACATGGAGGGGGGCTCTCCACTTTCCACCCCTATTTCAGGGGTGCTTTGGAAGCAGGAGTGGGGATGTTGGCTCTCCCCTTGGAACTTCTTGCAAAGGGGACAGCCTCCGTGGAGGCTGGGAAAGGTGCGAATGAATCAAGAGGTGTCATGGACTGGTTGGAGGTAGAGGAGTGGTGCGAGGTACCAGCTGGGGAACCCCCAAGGGGAAAGGGCTCAGAGCCAGGGGAGAGGTGGTGGGACAAACATGAGTGGTCAGAGGGAGAAGGAGGAACACATTGGGAGGTTAAGATATTGGAAGCTGAAGAGGTAGCAGGGTTTAGTGAGCAGGAAGAGGCTGTGACAGAGAGCAGTCCAGAAGAAGACGCAGCAGCAGAGTCAAGAGGCAAAGTGGAAGCAGGCTGCTGAAGAAGCCAGGGAATCTCCCCCTCCTGCTGCGACCAGCTCCCCACCCACCTGGTCTCCCAGAACACATAGAGCAGGCACCCCCAAACTCGGCCCTCCATATGTTTTGGGACTACAATTCCCATCATCCCTGACCACTGGTCCTGTTAGCTAGGGATGATGGGAGTTGTAGTCCCAAAACAGCTGGAGGGCTGAGTTTGGGGATGCCTGACATAGAGGAATGAAGAGGGCGGAGCAATGAGAGACAAGACTACAAAGCCTTAGACTGCTGTGTTAGGAACCAGGGGAGTTACCTTAGAGAGCGGTGGGAAGGCAGGGACCTTCAGTCGTCGCCAACTGCCTCATTGGGGCAAGACCTACTGGGAAGAATTGCTGCAACCACTAGGCCCGCACCATTTTGGTTTCTTTGGATAAAGAGTTAACTTCATTGACACCGGGTGTTTTATTGCTGACCTTGAAGTTGCCCATCAGGAGGGAGCTTCCTGGACAGCAAACTGCTCACAGTCACAGTCTTCCCCACTATGGAGAGATGTAGAATATGTAACTTCCATGCAGATATGTGTCCTCTTTTACCCTCTTTTTTTAATAGATGTGCTTTCTTTTTTTTTGGCAATGCATTAAGAGGCTGCCACGTTTGCCCTGGTGTTCTGAGGTCAGCTCACGTACCCCAAAGCATGCTGACAAGAGTGGAGAGGATTTGCATTTTTATTTTTATAAATAACTAGTCTTAATGAAGTTTGTTGTATAGTGCCAATGCTTTGTAGCACTGATTGGATTCTAAATGCCTGCTAAGCAACCCAGCAAGGCTGCATGGGTTACTCACAGCTCTCTATAGCTCCATGCAAGCTAATTTGTGTTAGCTTGTGTACGTCCTCCAGGCAGGATACAATGTGTGTGTTGTTCATCTTCTTTCATGGTCAAATACTCTAAATCAATGGAAGGATGTTACTTAGTGACATGTGACTAGCAAGGGAGGCCAAATAGTTGCCTTTGCAAACACTTCCCATGAAGAAAATTCTACCCATAATTTCATCATATTTCAGGACATTTGGTGTGATTTTAAAAGGAATACATTTTTTTATTTCTTTCTATTTTTGCATTAGTCTTAACTCAGTGGCAGGGCTAAAGGAGCTCTCACCGTTTCAGCAGACGGGGATGGTAGCCTTCTTGGAACAATAGCGATAAGGCTGTGTGTACATGCCATAGATTTAAAGCGGTGTTTTTCAACCAGTGTGCCATAGTCAGGGGTGCCATGGGCAACACTGGCCTCTGTCCCTCTTTTCTTCCCTCTCTCCTCTGATGCCCTCTCGTGTCTCTGCCTCCCAAAGGCTTGCGAGGCTGTTTGTTGCAGCAGCCCTAGCTAAAAGCTCCCCAGGTGAATGGTGCCTCTGGGGCTGGCCTGGGGGTGCTGGTTGCCAGGAGCTGTAGTGGCCCTGGAATAAGGTGCTGGAGTCAGGTTCACCTTTGACCAGTCTCTGTTGGACCGCTAAGGCTGGGGGCATCCTCTTCCCAGGCACCTGCGGGGCGGCGTAAGGAGGCACCTCTCTTTGGGGTGGGGGTGGGCAGCACAGAGACCAGGGCAGTGGCTGCTGCTGCCCAGAGGACTCCCAAGGAGAGGGGAGACGAGAGGAAGGAGACTAAGGGAACACTCCACAAGGGAGGGTGTTCAAAATGGGGTGAGGGGATGTTGGATCTGCAGGCAAGGGGTGACATAACTGAACTTCTGAGGCTTGTTCAGCCCGGACACTGAGATCCAGCACCGAGGGTCTTCCTCATTGCGAGAAGTGAGGTTACAGGGAACCAGACAGAGGGCCTTCTCGGTAGTGGCACCCGCCCTGTGGAACGCTCTCCCTTCAGATGTGAAGGAAATAAGCAGCTATCTTATCTTTAAAAGACATCTGAAGGCAGACCTGTTTAGGGAAGTTTTTAATATTTAATGCTTTATTGTTTTTAACACTCAATTGGGAGCCGCCCAGAGTGGCTGGGGAAACTCAGCCAGACGGGTGGGGTATGAATAAATAAATTATTATTATTATTATTATTATTATTATTATTATTATTATTTTCCCACTGGGAAGCCGCAGAAATAGTGTAGTTGGTCAAGCGAGCCATGGACTTAAAAAAGGCTGAAAACCTCTGATTTAAAGTACAGTGGTACCTCTGGTTATGAACTTAATTTGTTCTGGAGGTCCGTTCTTAACCTGAAACCGTTCTTAACCTGAGGTACCACTTTAGCTAATGGGGCCTTCTGCTGCCGCTGTGCCGCCGTAGTGTGATTTCTCTTCTCATCCTGAGGTAAAGTTCTTAACCCGAGGTACTACTTCCAGGTTAGCAGAGGTTGTAACCCAAAGTGTTTGTAACCCAAGGTGTTTGTAACCCAAGGTACCACTGTACAGAGGTAGCCATCTTCTTAGTCCTCCTGTTACAGAGGCATTAATAGAAAGTGAATTACTCTTCACCCTCTTGAGATTTGTTCTTCTTTTCTCTCCTTTCCATTGGATGCTTCCATCCTTTCCCCATCTTTTTTCAAACCAGGTGAAACCTGACTCTGCAGCGGATTACTTTGAGATAATCTTCCACCTTGACCAATATTTACAGCTTCACCCATGTGCAGTGACGCAGTTTCACCATTTGGAACACATGCCTTTCCAGCTGATGCTATTTTATCAACCCGTGTGTTTTATCTGAATTGATCTTTTAATTAGCACTTAACACTTTCTTGACGATATATAAAAGGTTAGTGCAATAGCACTCAGATGAAATCGTGTTATACTGCTAATTAAATACACGAACTTTTTTTTTAAAAAAACACACCACTGCCTTTCCGGTCACAGACACCAAGAACCCCCATCTATATCTAGATCTATATAGATCTAGATCTAGATCTAGATCTAGATCTAGATCTAGATCTAGATCTGGATCTAGATCTATATCTAGATCTATATAGATAGATACACACATGCACACACATATGGGCCATGGGAATGATGTATTAATTTAAAAACTATAATGCTTATTGTTGTTATTATGATTACAAAATGGCTGCTCAGGTTAATTGTACCTTCCCATCCTGAGCCCACAGCATTTGTGTGGATGGGACATAGAAGGATATATGTACTGCAAAAGCACAATTCTCCCAATAGTGTGGTGAAGTTAGTTGCAATTCCAAAAGGACAGGGGTTGCCAAACTTTTTAGGGCTGTGGAAGCACTTGGATTTTTTAGCAAGCACTGTAGGTGCCATGCTCTCTAGCCACTTCCAGCAGAATTAATCTGGAATACTATGTCCAGTTGCAGGGAATACAATTTAAGAAGGTGATTGACAAGCTGGAATATGCACTGAGGAAGGCAACCAAGATGGTCAAGGGTCTGGAAACCAAGCCTTATGAGGAACGTCTGAAGGAGCTGGGTATGTTTAGCCTGGGAAAGAGGAGACAGAGAAGAAAAATGGATAGCTGAAGAAAGGGCTGTCACATGGAAGATGGAGCAAGCTTGTTTTCTCCTGCTCTGGAAGGTAGGATTCAAGAAAGGAGATTCCGACTAAACATCAGGAAAACCTTTCTGACGGTAAGAGCTGTTCAACATTGGAATGGACTCCCTCAGAAGGTGGTGGACTCTCTCCTTCATTGGAGGTTTTTAAGCAGAGGTTGGATGGCTTTAGTTGAGACCCTGCCTTGCAAGGGGTTGGACTTGATGAGCCTTGGGATTCCTTCCAACTCTATGATTCTATGAAACAGGTGAAAGCAATATCATTACAGCGGGATCTGTCGCAGTCATCCCTAAAGCTGCTATTTTCTTCGGCGCTGTTAATGACTTCCCAAACATTTCCTTTAAATGCACCTTAGCATCTGGAAGTGAAAAAGCAAGAACGTCTTCTGCTTGTCTTCCCCTTTAGTCCACTCATGAGCTGAAGCTAGGAAAGGGTTCAGTTGGTCTGAACAGCAGGTAAGAGAGGAGGGAGAGGACGAAAGAATCAAGGAACACAGGAAGGCGCATTACTCAGAGTCCTCTCACTGGTCCATCTTGCTTGGTATTGAATGGCAGCAGCTCTCCAGGGTTTCAGGCAGGGGTCATTCTCAGGAGATGCTGGTCATTGAGACCTTCTGCATGCAAACCAGATGCTCTACCACTGAGCTGCTGTCCAAAAATAGTAGCATTAGATGGGGGAAAGAAGCGGGAAGGAATAGCAGTCGCAAACCTGAGAACACATGCACACACAGAGAGAGATAACATGGAGCAACCTTCTTGTAACTCAGTATGTTATTATCTTTCCCTCCCCTTTTATTTTATGTGGCCAAGTTGTGTGTGTGTGTGTGTGTGTGTGTGTGTGTGTGTGTGTGTTTGGGGTGGGGAGATTAAACTGGCCATGAAAGGCTGTTTCAGAATAAAATTTAATGGCTTTTCAGAATTCCTATTCTTCTTTTGCACACTCACCTCCACGGAGGGGCCTCTCTCACCCCTCCACTAACCTCTTGGACGCAACCTCTGAAGTGGTTAGGAAATGCCCAAATTATTCTCGCCGTTGGAAGTTTACATTTTGCAATGCAGACCTTTTCCTGCAACAGGAAAGTGTGGGTGTGGGTGGGTGTCTGTACAAAGTGTGGGGGTGTGCCGGGGGGGGGGGTTCAGGCAGACTACAGTGGTTGCCATAGTGAGTGGCTGGCTTTAAGACTTAAGTATAGGATTGTACGTGAAATATCCATGCAGTTAATGATGATGGTGTCTTGTGTTTCCCGCTAGGGGTGTCATCTATGAGCAGCCTTGCCTCCCCTCCCCGTGGACTTAAACACTTGTTATTTCATTTATCTGTTTATTTACACTTCTGTATCTCTCCAGATGGCAAAACCATGCCCGTGAGTTGGCTAGCCATATTGCTTTCGGGGGAGCCGGGCTCGAATCCACCATCGTCTTTGGGGGAAGGCAAAAGCAACCTCTCGCCGAAGAATTGATGCTTTTGAATTATGGTGCTGGAGGAGACTCTTGAGAGTCCCATGGACTGCAAGAAGATCAAACCTATCCATTCTTAAGGAAATCAGCCCTGAGTGCTCACTAGAAGGACAGATTGTGAAGCTGAGGCTCCAATACTTTGGCCACCTCATGAGAAGAGAAGACTCCCTGGAAAAGACCCTGATGCTGGGAAAGATTGAGGGCACAAGGAGAAGGGGACAACAGAGGACGAGATGGTTGGACAGTGTTCTCAAAGCTACAAACATGAGTCTGACCAAACTGTGGGAGGCAGTGGAAGACAGGAGTGCCTGGCGTGCTCTGGTCCAGGGGGTCACGAAGAGTCGGACACGACTAAACGACTGAACAACAACAAAAAGCAACCTCTGCAGAGAAAGGCAGATTGTGTTGTGCTGTGGTGGTCAGAGTGGCCAACTAGGGCCTGTGAGACTAGGGAAGAAGAAGAAGAAGAAGAAGAAGAAGAAGAAGAAGAAGAAGAAGAAGAGGAGGAGGAGGAGGAGGAGGAGTTTGGATTTGATATCCCGCCTTTCACTCCCTTTAAGGAGTCTCAAAGTGGCTAACATTCTCCTTTCCCTTCCTCCCCCACAACAAACACTCTGTGAGGTGAGTGGGGCTGAGAGACTTCAAAGAAGTGTGACTAGCCCAAGGTCACCCAGCAGCTGCATGTGGAGGAGTGGAGACGCGAACCCGGTTCCCCAGATTACAAGACTACCGCTCTTAACCACTACACCAGGGATCAAATCCCCACTTGGCAAAGTAGCTCAGTGGGTGACCTTGAGCCAGTCACTGCCTCTCAGCCTAACATACCTCGCAGGGTTGTTTTTTTGTGGGGGTGGGTTAAATGAGGAGCGGGGGAAGAACCATGTCTGCCACCTTGAACAGCTTGGAACAAGCTGGGTGGCCCTTGGGCAAGATGTGTTCAATTTCCTCTCTCCCCGGTGTGCACCCTTGCCCTCCCACACATTTTGCAATCGCCCCTTGGCTTGCTACTCCTTCTGTGCCCGTCTGGTGCCAAATAAAATGCATGTGGCATCATGCAAATATTCCTGCTCATGGGAGACTAGTTGTGCCTCTGGCTGGAAGTTCAGTAGAGTGCGGGCCTATTTGACCTTGACTAGAAGAGATGTAAGGGTCGCGGGTGGTGCTGTGGGTTAAACCACAGAGCCTAGGACTTGCCGATCGGAAGGTCAGCGGTTCGAATCCCCGCAATGGGGTGAGCTCCCGTTGCTCGGTCCCTGCTCCTGCCAACCTAGCAGTTCCAAAGCATGTAGATAAATAGGTACCACTCCGGCGGGAAGGTAGTATAGTGTATTTTAAAATGGGGTTTTAGAGTTTTTAGGGGTTTTTGAATGTTTTATGTAGTTTTTATGTAGTTTTATGTAGTTTTGTGGTAGTTTTATGTAGTTTTCAATTTCATTGTTCCGCAAGGGACAGTGACAATAAAGATATCGTATCGTATCATATCGTATCGTAAGGTAAACGGTGTTTCTGTGCGCTGCTCTGGTTCGCCAGAAGCGGCTTAGTCATTCTGGCCACATAACCTGGAAGCTGTACGCAGGCTCCCTTGGCCAATAAAGTGAGATGAACGCAGCAACCCCAGAGTCGGCCATGACTGGACCTAATGGTCAGGGGTCCCTTTAGCTTTACAAGTGAGGCAGGTGGCACTGTGGTCTAAACCACTGGACCTCTTGGGCTTGCCAATCGCAAGGTTGGCAGTTTGAGTCCGTGTGACAGGGTGAGCTCCCTTTGCTCTGTCCCAGCTCCTGCCAACCTAGCAGTTTGAAAGCATGCCAGTGCAAGTAGGTAAATAGGTACCGCTGCAGTGGGAAGGTAAACAGCGTTTCCATGCGCTCTGGCACTCATCATGGTGTTCTGTTCCACCAGAAGCAGTTTAGTCATGCTGGCCACATGACCCAGAAAGCAGTCTGTGGACAAACGCCAGCTCCCTCGGCCTGAAAACAAGATGAGTGCCGCAACCCCATAGTTGCCTTTGACTGGACTTAACCGTCCAGGGGTCCTTAACCTTTACCTTACCTAGAAGGGAGCTCCATAAAATCTGGTCCACCATATTGAACACATGGCTCCTAGTGGAATCATAAAATTGGAAGTGACCCTGAGGATCTTCTGGTCCAACCCCCTGCATTGCAGGAATATGCAGGAATAATATGAGGCTCAAACTTGCAACCTTGGCATTATCAGCGCCACGCTCTAACCAACTGAGCTAGCCATGAACCCAAGCCATGGGGGACCACAAAAAGCCACTCTGCGAAATACCTCAGTGATAAGACAGGGAAATAAGGGTTCAAGCAGTCCTTGAGGTATGGCAGGCCCAAATTTTGAAGGACCTTGTAAATTAACACAATAGCCTTGAACCTGGCCCCTTCGCCAAATAGGACGTGTTTGTCTTCACCCCTCCTGTTCCTGCCTCAGGCTTTCCCTAATTACTCTTCCTGAAGGCCAAGGCATGTAAGACACAGCTGTGGCTCCTCTCGAAACTATTAACGTGTGGACGAAAAGGTCCCTTTCAAGCATCAAAGGTGGCATCCTCTTGAGAAGCCCACTGAGCCGCCAACCCCCTTGTCCTTTGATAAGCTATATCAGGAAGCCTTGCTTTTATCAGTCATGGAGAAAATAGCAACTGCTCCCCCAAAGGCGCATTGACGTCAAACGGATGGTTTGAAAGGGGTGGTTTGGAAGGCCCAAAAGGCTAGCCGCAAGCCCTGATTTGGGGTGGGGAGCACCCACATCGGGGGGCAGTGAAAATGAATGGCAAAGTGCTGCCGGCTCTGAGGGTGGAGACCTGCTGCTCACTGAGGGGGGCCGCTTGAAAGAAGAACATGTTTTGAAACTGTCATGGCGCTGCTTCGCCATCAAAGACAACAAGGACTTCAAAACCAGGCGGAAAGGGCAAAAGGAAAATATGAACAGAACGCCTGAGGGGGGGCCCGGCACTTTTGTTCGACCAGGAGAGTTGAAGGCTGGCAGCTGACTGTGGATGGACCTTTTGAGGAGATGCTTGCCATTTACAAAACAAGTTGATACACACTTAGCCTGGAAGAGGAGTCCCATAATGTTCCATAAGAACATCTGCCATATAAGGATTGCAGCTGAGCAGTGTGGTGCAATAGTAGGAAGCAGCCTTAACCCAAGTCAGCCCATTGGTCCATCAAGCTCACTAGTGTCTATAGCAGGGATGGGGATCCTTTGGCTCCCCTATGTTGTTGGCCTTCAAAGCCCATTAGCTCAAACCACCATGGTCAACAGTCAGGTCCTGCTTGTAGGGAGCAGGTGACGCTGTGGTCCAAACCACTGAGCCTCTTGGGCTTGCTGATCAGAAGGTTGGCGGTTCAAATCCCCGCAACGGGGTGAGCTCCCATTGCTCTGTCCCAGCTCCTGCAAACCTAGCAGTTCAAAAGCACACCAGTGCAAGTAGATAAATAGGGACCGCTGCGGTGGGAAGTTTCCGTGCGCTCTAGCTTCCGTCACGGTGTCCCATTGCACCAGAAGTGGTTGAGTCCTGCTGGCCACATGACCCGGAAAGCTGTCTGTGGACGAACGCCAGCTCCTTCGGCCTGAAAGCGAGATGAGTGCCACACCCCAGAGTCATCTTTGACTGGACTTCACCGCCCAGGGGTCCTTTACCTTTTTATCTTTACCTGCTTGCTTTTGAATGATCATATATATATATATGGCAGATGTGGAGGAACTGCAGGAAAGGTGAGGTGTTTTTAACCCTTCCCTCTGCATAGTAGATTAATATATGCAAAAATAGAGATATATCACATCATCAATTCATTTTGGGTCACTTCTGGATGGCTTGTTTATTGAGCATTCATCCTGGTTTGTTTGCTTGGAGGTTATACAATGTCACATCAAGAAGTTGTTGTCCCACACTTGCCGATGCGGTTTCCTTACCGCAAAAAGGACCAACCTGGGGTGGAAATGACTCTGCTACTCAGGTGTTCTAAAACCACCTTAATTGCACAACCTGAATTTTCTGGTATGCGTTTGAATTCTGCCCGCAAAGTAGCGATGTTGGGTTAGGAAGCGGCTTGAGCCATTATTTAACCACCAGCATTCAGAAATTCGACATTTCTATTCTTCTGAAGAAAATGTAATTGTTCATTCCTCCAACACAGCACAACACACACACACACCACGTTCAGTGAGGAGCAAACTGCAACAATTTCAAAGAAATAGACTTTCACACTCGGCAGTCGTGACCTTTATCTGGCTTTATCCTTCTTTTGGGCACCATCTGCGATCATTACAGGGTTTAAAGGAAAAAGAAAATCTGTAGGCTTCAGGGGGTGAGATGAGAAACGGACTGAGCTGCTGTTGCTATATTAAGCTACATTTGAAGCTAAAAATAGCTTCTCGGCTTGTAGATGTAACGCTACTTGCATATCAATGGCCCATTTCTACTCCTCCTAGCAGATAACAATCTCTGCCTGCTTTGCTGCTGCTGCTGCAGATGTGGATGCCCATACAAATGGCATTTTAAAATAGCTTGATAAAAGCAAGGTAGATTTCTCTGCGAGGTTTACCAAAGGGAATTCTGTCTAAAACGGGTTTCCCTGTGTAACAGCTCCCTGCCCAAATGGCTGGATCTAGACTGGTCTTCTGCCGTTTCGGCAAAATATTGAGGGAGACATTCAAAACGGCTCCTGCTACTCAACTCAGCACACCAAGTTCTGCTAACTGGCAGCAAAAATAGCCACAAATCTTCCACAACTGCTGCAAAGGTTAAGGGAGGTTGATCTTGGCTTTTGGAGAAGTTCCACAGCTTGGTGATAGAGCTGGTGATTTACATATGTTGTTGTTGTATAGTCGTTTAGTCATGTCCGACTCTTCGTGACCCCATGGACCAGAGCACGCCAGGCACTCCTGTCTTCCACTGCCTCCCACAGTTTGGTCAAACTAATGCTGGTAGCTTCGAGAACACCGTCCAACCATCTCATCCTCTGTCATCCCCTTCTCCTTGTGCCCTCCATCTTTCCCAACATCAGGGTCTTTTCCAGGGAGTCTTCTCTTCTCATGAGGTGGCCAAAGTATCGGAGCCTCAGCTTCAGGACCTGTCCTTCCAGTGAGCACTCAGGGCTGATTTCCTTCAGAATGGATAGGTTTGATCTTCTTGCAGTCCATGGGACTCTCAAGAGTCTCCTCCAGCACCATAATTCAAAAGCATCCATTCTTCGGCGATCAGCCTTCTTTATGGTCCAGCTTTCACTTCCATACATCACTGCTGGGACAACCATGGCTTTAACTATACGGACCTTTGTTGGCAAGGTGATGTCTCTGCTTTTCAAGATGCTGTCTAGGTTTGTGATTGCTTTTCTCCCAAGAAGCAGGCGTCGATTTACATATAGAAGGTCTCAAGTTCAATCCTTGCTTGTCTAAGTGAAACAGGCAGCAGGTGATGGAGGAGAAAGACCCTCAGCCGCTGCCATAGCATACAGTATGGCACTAGATAGGCTGACAGCCTGATCTGGTGAAATGGAAGCGTCACTGGAACACAGGAAGTCAGACCATTGGTCTGCCAAGCTCGGTATCATCCACTGATTGGTGGCAATGACTTTCCAGGGTTTCAGGCAGCTGGCATTCCTGGCCTCGCTTGGAGATGCTGTGGGCTGAATGTGGAACTGTGTGCATTGCAGGCAGTTGCTCTGCCATGGAGCTAATAGCCCTCTCTTAATGCTGCCATGCTCCTGAACCATCCGATTGTAGTATCCCTGTGGAGGGTGGGAAGGAAAAATCAGACTCAGAAAATAGGGCACCTTATGGTGTACTATCTCTGAGCCCAAATTGCCTTGGAATTGAAGAAAGGAAGGATATCTATCTATCTATCTATCTATCTATCATCTATCATCTATCATCTATCATCTATCTATCTATCTATCTATCTATCTATCTATCTATCTATCATCATCTATCTCTCTCTCTATCTATCTCTCTATCTATCTATCTATCTATCTATCTATATCTGTCATCTATCTATCTATCGTCTGTCTAATCTATCATCTATCTATATCTATCTATCTATTTATCTATCTATCTATCTAATCACACTAAGAGGTTTCTCTGGGAGCCACTGAAATCCCCTGGGGTCATCCTTGTGCAGAAATGTAGCTTAGACCAGATGGCAGCGCAGAAACGGGAAGTAGCTTGAATTGCTAAGTGCTCTGTTGCCACTTCTGCTTCTGGGAAAGCAAGTGGGATGGCTGCTGGGAAGCACACAGCAACCTCATTACAACACACAATAACCCATGTGGCTTCGGTGTTACCAAGTCCGTTCCACGCACACAAAAAATCACACTGGTTTCACGTAAGGAAAGCTTAACTGCTTCTTGGATAATTGATAAGATTGTCAAGTGGACAGGAAGAAAGACCCCATAAATAGTTCTTGGCCTGCTCCTTTCCTCTGAGCACGAGTTTGAGATGCAGAAACCAGCAGGAGAAGCAATTTATGGCATGGCACTACACACGATCACTGGCTAATCAAACAGCGGGTACTGTTCTTAAAGGGACAATTATACAGACCAGTTGAAATGCTGGTAATATCTAGGACAATTCTGTCAAGCAGAGATATTATGATCCAGAAAATGTATTTAGAGCACAATCCTACAGATGTTTCCTCGGATGTAAGTCTCACCATGTTCAGTGAGGCTTACTCCCTTGAGTGTGGTTTGGATTGCAGCCCTATGAGGTCTTTTACAATAATCAACATTTCAGCATTATCCAAAAGTCATAAAAACAAGTGTGTGCACGTGTAACAGAAAAATGCCAGACCCTCCAAATGTCCCTATTTTTCAGGGACATCCCTGATTTAGAGAAGCCATCCTGGTTTCTGATTTGATCCCGGAATGGCCCACTTTTCCTTAGGATGTCCCTATTTTCATTGGAGAAATGTTGGAGGGTATGGAGTTATCTGACCCTCAAGCTGTTTGAAGGCAATCCTGTATAGAGAAGTTGTTTTTTTAATGTTTAATGTTTTATTATGTTTTTATATATGTTGAAAGCTGGGCAACTCAGTAAGATGTGTGGGGTATAAATAGTAAAATTATCATTATGGAATGGGACATCCCCATTTTCATTGGAGAAATGTTGGAGGGTATGAAATGCTGCCCTGGGGCACAAATGGGGAATTCACAAAATGACAAACGAGAGATGTTCTGTTTGTGGAGGAAACATGTTTTTTAAAATGGGGCATTTTCCAGGAAGGGCTGACATATCCT